GACCTCCTGGTATTTTAAGCCACCAGAATGTAAAGATGGCAGCAAATAAAATAAAAATCAACAAACATGCGGTTTAATCCCTCCCCCCGAGTCTCTCTTTTATATTTTTTTTCATTGGTGGTCCGATGGGCGTTGTCTGGTTGTCATTACATTCTTGTGGCTTAAAATTCCAGGAGGTCCCTGAGGAAGTCCTTATAGGACGAAACGCGTAGGACCTGGTATAGCACTATCGTTTATTGTGTTTTTATAAATTTATTTATAATAAAGCAGTATTGTTATATCCATCTATCCGGAGTTCTGTTCTATCATCATTGGAGAAAGAGGAGTGGATTTGGCCCCCCCATTTGTTTCGGCGGAGGCACCCTTGGGCGATATATTTTCATCTATCTTGTGAGTGTTACTCATCACAGCACATTTACACATTTTTTTAACAATGTTGCACTATTATTTGCTTTTTATGTTGTAGATCTACAGCTGTATCCTCCTATTTGTTTGCATCCTAATTGCAACACTCCTGCTTTGCAGCGTGATACAAAAACAAAAGTTACATTTGTGAGTGTAATCTGCAGTTTCTCATTATTTTCATATTTACGTTACTCATTAATTTGACTTAAAAAGAGCTCAGTAACTTTGGTAAATAAATATGGTAAGGTATTATGTACATCTTTTTAATAGACAAGGGATTCCAAAAATATATAAATTACAATGAACATAAACTGGTCAATTACTTATCAAACAAAATCAACATGCTCGAAGCTTCCTTAAATAAACTTTACAATGGTTTATCTGTTTTCGTTGTGTTGTAAATTAGTAACAAGTTTTGTTTTGGAAACTGTTTCTAAAGGATATTGGATTAGTCATTTAACTGCTTTTCTCCTTCCAATTTTTAACAGTTATACATTGGGAAACACATTAACAGTAAAAGGGACACTATAAGCACCAAAACAACTTTAGATTAACAGAGCGTTTTTTTCTGTAAAGATCATGCCCCTTCAATTTTACTGTTCAATTCTCTGCCATTTAGGAGTTAAATAATTGTGTGTGTATACAGCAAAAGTCCCACCTCCCTGCATATGACACAGCCCTCCTAAACATTTCATGTAAAGAGACATCTAACGTTTAAATTTCCTTTGTTGTACATGCAGGCCGTGTGGCTCACATTAAATTGAATTATAGTTCCTTTGAGGAAGGTGGTGCTTAGGGAGCCATGTACTAGTCCGAGATGACTGGGTGGTCTATCACAGATAGTAATACTTATTTTATTATTTATATAGCGCCAGCAAATTCTATAGCGCTGTACAATGGGAACCTTCGTCATATTTAATTATAAGCTCTATTGAATTTTTTTTACTACTGTAAATATTGTATGTTAATGAGGTTTACTTAATAACTTTAAATACATAAACAATAGCTGCAAGCAAATACTTTTGTTGATGGAAAGGATAGTTGGTCTGTAATTGGTAGTCAAGAAAAACACTCAGGTAAGGGGGACGGGCTAGACAGCCATGCTAGATAGATGCAGGTAGTGTCAGCTTCTCATGCATTTAAACTATTTTGATAATAATCATTGTATTTTAGCCAACATTTCTGGCACACTAACCCTAAAAGGAATTTAGATGGCAGGAAACACTCAATAGCTATGAGATCAGACCAATAAATCTCCTGGTATTAGGAACTGGATAGTGTGAGGATTAGTGACTGGAAAATCAGTAGACAGTGCAGCCTTGAATACATATGAGGAGACTGAGTCGAAGGAGAAGTCCCATAGGGTGAAAAATGCACCTCTCAAAAAGGTTTGAAAGGACTTAGATAGGTATCTATGGGTCATTGAGTCAGATCTGTCCAGGTAAGGGTCCAAAACAGAATTAAAGTCCCCACCCACAATCAATCTTGTAGAGAGAGAAACCAAAAGCTTCGGGAGAATGGCAGAGAAACAAAAATAAGTGCCACGGACAGAAGGGGCATAAATGTTAACAATGGTGAGAGGAAAGCCTGCCAGGAACCCATCTTACTGGAGGAAGTGGCTCATTCTATCTGTACATCATAGTCTAAGCTAGAGTGAATAAAGACGGTCTTGCCCTTATGTTTGATGCGGCCAATGGAGACGTCCTGTGAAACATAGCCATCAGCCCAAAATGAAGGGGTATGAGAATAGGTAAAATTAGCGTATAGCAGTTCATAATTGCAAATCTTTGTTTATGAAGGGAGTAGTGTATATTAAAATACTGAAGAAAATATGCAGGCAAGTCCCTGAGTGCTGCGTTGTGCTCCTCATCTGCCAATGTCAGTCGATAAGGGGGCAAGCACCAAACGCGCCTCAGGCCTTCCCTAAAAGACAGCATTGCCTCAAACTCTGTGAAACTGCAGGGTTAAGGGAACAGAGACATTGCACCTAGACCACTTTAATGAGATGACGTGGTTTGGGTGTTAGTAGTGTCCCATTAAGTAGCTGGTTCTGTAAACAAAACCATCTCCATTTTCCCCACAAGTGAAGAGCATAAACATAATTTGTTCAATTAAGTATTTTTCCTTGTTTATATTACAATTAGTTTACAGTCAGACAAACAAACAAAAACGTCCAACAATGAGGACAGACTGATTGAATTTGAAAACCAAATGTCTTCTGTTTACCACTTTTATTTTCTGAATTAACTGATATGCTCACTGCATGGAATAAATTAGAGATGATATAGTTTCTTCCCTGGGCTGTGGTTCAGGAGCTGGTAAAACCAATGAAGTAGATGCTTGCACTTAACGCTTACTGCCTGCCATTTGACAGTCGTCCTATAAAGCCTCTCACTTTCAGAGGCACCATAACAACCTCATCTGAATGAAGTTATTTAAATGTGATGGTGCCAGGAGGCCCCCTGCCTCACTCTTTAACAATTTAACCCCAAAGTGAGTCTCCAGCGCCTATCTCAACTCCCCCCAGACGTCATCTGGCTTCTACAATATCAGTTTCAGGAAGCGCTGAATGCCATTAATCAGTGGTTCCCCATTCATAAAACTAGCTTGAAAAGAAACGTACCTTTACCCAAGCCAGTTTTATGAATGGGAAGTCACTGATCGGTTGAGAACGTCAGCTGACCACTCTCAATCAGCAGTGCCCCTCCCTGCCCCTGAAACAAATTTAGACACCGGATGCCGTCTGGGGGGAGTTAAGATCAGCATAGGGGTCACTTAAGAGGAATTTACACTGTTCAAGAACGATTTAATTCCTTGAGATAAGTGTGCGCCCAGAGGCCTCTTGGCACCATAACAACTTTATTTAGATTACATTGTTATGGTGCCTAAACAGCCCTTTAACTGTTTCACAAAGGTTTAACTCCATAGTTTGTGCTCCTGCACGCCTGACTTCCAGCTTCAGTTCCTCAGATCACTCTGCCTATTGCTTAGATTAGCCTTTTTCCACACAGTTTTATGAATGGGAAGCTAGTGATCTGTTTTGCACCATCTGAGGCTTCTGGAGTGAAACCTTGGATTAGGAAATTGCTGCATACAGCAAAAAGTCTTCAAAAGTTTGGGGTTTAACCATTCTTAAATGGTTTAACCCCTTTAAGGCAAGATATTCTCTTAACCTAATTGCAATTCAGTTGTTATGGTCCCCAGTTGTCTTGCATACATAACAGCCATGGTTATTCACTCAAAGTGAGAATTATCAGGAATTTAAAATTTAAGGCAAAAATAGATAAATTAAGAAGTCAATTTTGCTTCAAATTCAGTTACTTTGGTGTTAAATTCACGATAAATGCCCAACTATCCTTACTTCTCTACTTAAGCCTGAGCTTTAAAAAAAACATAAATTGGGAACTGGTGAATAGACAAGGGAATTGTACAATTTAGGTTAAAATAGTCGAATATGAAAAGCTCTCTAGTTCTCCAGCTTGGTTATTTTGGACATTTTTACTGTTACTCTGGCCAACGCTTATTTTAAACCTATAACTATTTGCAACTGAATAAGCAAAACAAAACCTACTGACGAAATTACTAGATAGTTTGCATTAAGTGACAAGCCTGATCTATTTTGCATCTTCAGTATTTAGGTTCAGGATTTCGTACATACTTACTAGAGCTAAGGATTTATGTATTTAAACCAGGTTTAACATGTTTAAATTATACACAATTCAAAATTGTTCACATTATGCTAATGAAGATTTACAGCAAAAGAAACTGTACATCTGAAAGCAAGTTAGTAGGTTTAACTGCAAGAGCCACTTGTTTAGTGTGAACAGAGAGCCCCCCAAAACTTGACAGACCAGTTCAATCCTGGACACTAAGCAACACAAAATACAACACAGTGTCAGCTGAGAAACAGGACACACAACTCTGCTTATGAGAAAATGGTTTTATTTAAAGTTCCTCTGTAGGGCTATTTTGTTATGACCCATCTTTTACAGTAGTTTAAAATAAAATATACACAGAAAATTGTACGATATACAGATACACACCATAGTTATGAGAAAAAGCAAAACCTTAAAGACCAAAAGGATTATTGACTAAAGTGTGAATTGTCAGGAATTAAAAAAGGTGAATTCAATTTTAGTCTAAAAATAAAAACTGGAGATTTTTATTTACTTCTACTAGTTTGACCTTAAAATTACTTTCAGGCTTACTCACTAAACTCCACATTTAAATTTGAATAGCCTCAGTGAAATCGAGATTTGTTTTCTTGCCATATACACCTATTTCCCTCTCAGTTTTAGCCATCAATACAATATTCTTGGACAAGCTTTTCACAATTTTATCTACAAAAATTTGCATCGACCTTAATGGTATCTTCAGTAGCGAATCAATTTGAAAGGTTTATCTAAAAATATATTAAACCGAGGCCTCAATCCACTAAAATGTGAGAGTTTAGTGAATTACCTTGTCTGAACTACTGGCAAAGCAGACTTCAGTAAAAACCCGGAGAGGTGGGTTAACATAGTGAATTACACAGTTAATTAAAATTGAAAGGATTACATTTAAAGGCATTGCCTTAAACAATTCGTATAGTATACATGCATGGAGGTAAACAACATGGAAAATACGATGTGGCCAATTTCCCGAGCAAGGTACACATAGTGGCAGATAGGGCGCAGACACCCACACCCCACCAACATATTTTATGTAAATTTTCGCTACTAATCCAAACTCCTGACAGGAAACCATCGGATAAACTAGTGCTGAACAAAGGGAGCTCGGTAAAAACAGAAAGCAGCCGCCCGCTGTTACGGTCTGCCCGTTTAAAAGACGACTTGCATTTCACGCTCGTGTCTAATGGCGGATTAAAGGCGAACAAAGGACGGCCGCCATCTTGTAGCTATGACCGAGCACTTACAGGAGGAGGGAAGGTGAAGAGAAAAGGGGAGGAAATCATGAAGAGATTCAGCCAGTAGGTGGCGGAAAAGATCCCTCCATCCGGGGGCCGGGGCGTCCCAGGAGCTGCGGGAGAACGACAGCAGGGGGAGAGGAGAGCCAGAGGAGGAGGATGAAGAAAGACAGCGTTCGCTGCTTCTCAGCTCCTCGCAACAAAATGGCGGCGGGTCTAGGCAGGCGGGGGCGGCGTTTGCCTGCGGGGACCGGGAGCGCTTTTCCCGGCTCTAAAACCACCGGAGAAACGTTAGTTTTAAGAAGCGGATTTCGATTGATCGAAAGGTGGAACTTTTATGACGATATTTTATTTCGTTCGGACACAGGAGTGTGGAGATCAGGGCAAAGGGGAACTGGAGTAACCTGACAGAAACAGGAGCGCACAACGGCGAAGGTGAGAGAGGCTTTAACTGAATTCGGTTTAAATTAACCGGTTTAACCGTATAAACCGACTATTGTGACATTGTCGTCCTCAGATATACTACAGATGAGCTCAGTGTAATTTATAAGTTTGTCGCTCATATTAGATTGCCAAGAAAGCACACATTTGCCTGAGCTTTTTTTTACTCTTCTTTCAAACAGATTTTGGTGAAGCGTTATGTTCGCATATTGTCGTTTTGGAGGAATATTTAACTGCGCAACAAAATGGCGCCGTCTCCTTCAAGGAGCTCGAAGGGGAAGACAACGACTACATCGCGTGACTCGCCGGCCACGCCTCTTATCAGCTCAGCTGCCTAGTAACAGCCAATGACGGAAAGGAGGGCAGCTGGACTCAGCAGGACTCCAGCCAATGAGAAGTGAAGTAAAGTTGGGTGACGTGGAAGGCTCGCTGAGTCACTAGTCCTGGAGTTCTATGAAGGGAAGGGCGCGTTCTCCTTCGCTGCTGCAGCAGTTGTGCACGAGTCAGCCACTTGGGGCGTTGGTTTAGCTGTAGCGAGACCAGCCAATGAGAAGCTGTTGCTGTGTGTGTGGGCGGTCCCTGTAATTATGGATAGGCAAGGCAGCCAACAGTAAAGCTGGGTTAGCTGTGGGGGTTGACTGCAAACGGCCAATCCTCGCGCGAGCTCGTATTTATATATGACCGGCCGCAGCCTTCGAGGCGCCATTTCGCTGAAGCGGAGAGTCGGAGCTGAGAGGTGGAGAACTCGGAGTGGTTTGCTGGTAAAAAAAAAAACACCGCTACGCCCCCACCCGGAGAGCGGGCGTTAACTCAATCCACGTCCATCCGCATGGAGACAGCCGTTAATCCGGCGTTTAAAAGGTACATCTCGCAGATGGTACTCAGTATACCCGCTATCAATGGCAATTTCTTCCCCGTAAAACTGTTTTGTTGGAAATGGTTTGGATTCTGTGGTGACCCCTCCTCCCTTGCTTCCATAGAGATGGCGTCTCCGTCTCTCTACCAACCATATCCAATCCACAGCCATCCTCTCTGTAGGAGTGAGAGAGCCTCCAGGCGGCGGGACTTGTGGCTACAGCCTGTGTTAGTGCTCCGAACCCCGGGTACATTGCTCACCTCTGCCCGCCTAGGACTCCGCTATGTGAGCCTTTATAGGCTGCGCCCTCCCAGCTCTGCGGCGCCGCCATTTTCTTCCGGCTGCTGAGACCTATATATCCCCGCGGGAGGGGGCGCAGTGTATCCCAGCAACGGGGAGTCCCTGCTAACTGCAGCCGGGGTGACGGGGTTAATCATTGCACTGTGTGCTAGTTATGGGATCAGTAAGGCCGAGAGCTGATATTTATTACTCTCTGTTATAATGGCTCCTATTTCCATAGAGCCCCCCGCACTGCCTTGTTTATAAACAGTGAGTAGTGACTGAACAACCTGATAGATCAGCATTGATTGTGCTGTGTGTGGAAACAAACCGTATATCCTATATTCTCCACTTGTGTTTACCTACAATGGTGATATTTTATTGCACACGGTTAGACGTTCTGGGTTGTTTATATTATTTACATTGCCTAATACTGGGAGTCTGGTAACCTCTGAGAGACTCCTGTGACTGCTATAAAGCTATACGGAGGTCATTGCTCACAGATTGACCTTGGTTTATAAAATGATTCCTGTCTAAAATATATGCACGGTTCGTCTCCATCCACTTAATGCTTGTAATGTAAATAAAAATATATCTATAATGGGTGGTGAGCACTCTCAATATACTTTTTGGAAGGGTGCAATTAAGCCCAGGATCCGTATTCCATGTGTAGTATAACTAAAGATGATAGCCCAGCATTAGTAGTTGCAATCCTTTGTTTTTTCAATGAATAGGGACGGAACGTTTTGGCTAACTTTGGTACCATTTGCTTGAAACTTTTCCCATGTTTTACGTAATAGGTTATAGGTCAGTAATTATCCTCATTTGATTTATAGCACGTTCATATGGCCTACATGATTTGGATATATTAGTGGACATATGGTGTAAGATAAATACATTATACTGTCATTGTTTTGTTATTCAATCTTATCTAATCCATGAGTGTGTGGGAGTTTGCCTTTTAATTTTGTGAAGACTGTGGTACTTGTCTTTTCAGGTGGAAGGGAAATTTGCTTGTACTATACCATGTCTTTTTCTGGTGTGGAAGATTATCCATCTACATAAGACTTTACTTCACTAATTCAGCACTTAGATTTGGTTAGTTTGGTATTTTTTAAGATGCAATTCTGCTGCCTGGTCATTGGGGTCCATAGTGCTTGGGATCACAAGGTGTGAATGAGGTCACTCTGTAGTCAGGGATGTTTGTTTAGTTTAAGTGAGGTGTGCTGGGTAGATGGGGGAGGGGCTTGGAAATTAGTCAACATTTTGAGTGGAAGAGAAACAAAGACTTCTAGATTTGTCTGATTTCACACTGAAATCATTCTCCAGTTAGACTTGTGCTCTTGCATTCCTGGAGAGCAGCACTAACCTTCTGGCCATGCTTTTTTTTTTTTTTTTTATGAATATAGATTCAATTAAAGTGTACATTTGGTTTACTCTTCAAATTATTGAACCTGTAACCCCTTAAGGACACATGACATGTGTGACATGTCATGATTCCCTTTTATTCTAGAAGTTTGGTTCTTAAGGGGTTAAAACAACTGCATTCTTATTGATACTGTTTAACACCAGTAAAACTGCTATTGATTGGAGCCTGCAGCAATTATTATTTTGGATGATTTCCAGTTAATGTAGGTGTAGATCATGTAGTGGTTTAGACATTTTAATCATATCCCAAGCTAAATATGGGGCTAATTTATTAGCTAGTGGAGCTAGTAATTTAATGGTTTAAACTAGCATTTTTACCCCCCCCATATTACGGTTTAATTGAAAACCAATTACTGTAAAATCATTGTACTGCTCTAGGAAATGACTGTACTCAAACTACACACAAGTATAGTGCAGATGCAAGACCAATTTACAAGGTTACCCTCTATTTGGGTAGTGGTACATTAAATACGCAATTTCTGTGTCAATATAGCAAAAAGGTTTTTTATTTTTTTTGCTTCTTTCAAATTTTATGCTCACTGGAAACTGGTGCAGTATGTAATTATATATTTTATCACTATAGTTAATGTTAGTGAGTGCAAACAGTTAAGTGTATATTGTAGCTATGTGACATGTTTGTCAACAAAACAGGATGTGTAGAATCTGAGGACACACCCTCACTCTTCTATACAACGAACCAGAAAATAGAGTAGTACAGCATTGCAAAGTGAACACCTGACTGACCAGTTGAAACAAAGTGATCTTTCATAATCCTATGAATCAGAGTAGATCTCTAGTATGTGCAGTTATAGCTGGCATGATCACATTGTGAAGACAGAACTTGCTTGACCAGTAAGTAACACACTTGTGTTCTGCTATATTGTCATGCTTTCAGTGTTACAGTAGTAAAATATGAAAATAAGTGCACTCGACCAGCTGATGACTGTTTCAGTGTTAATGGTATTCATCAGTTTTACTCTAACTGCCTACATTGAGGCAATGAAAGTATATGTGTATGTGTATATATGTATGTCTCTCTCTCTCCCTCTCCCCTGGCTCCAAAATTCTATACATAAATTGTTCTACCTACTCTATGGAATTATTTTTATATAAATCCACAAGCCGATGCAGTAGCCTTTCTGTAAAATTTTACTGCGGTCATTCTTTTCATATTTTGAAATGTTAAAGAAACCATCCATAACTGCTTCATTGGGATTAAGTTTTTATAGTGCAAGGAGGTTGATGGGTGTGTGGTTTGGGGTGGGGGGTTATGGTGTATTACTGACTTACTTAGAGCATCAGTTGTCCACTCCAGCCAATAGGCAGTGTCCCTGCCTGGCAATACTCAACACTTGCCTAAAAGTTTATTTCAGAACTTGATATGCAGTGCTGTAAGCAACCATCTGGGTTTGAACCGTCCAAGAACAGTTTAAAACCTTCAAGTGACCCCCTGGCACTGTAATAGCTTAATTTTGATTGTTATGGTGCCTGGACTGTTCCTTTTACAGTAGCATATAGTCATGTTGCAAAAGGAGGTGGGTGACAAGTAAATGACTGCCAAAAGCAGCCAATACTTCATGTATATGTTTTTTTGAACTTAAAATTGTCCGGCATTGTAATTCTGAATATATTGGGGTATTTTTGTGTTTCGGCAGCACATTTTAAACTGTAAAAAATTTAGTCTTAGACCTCAATATCTCCAGTTTGCATTTTTTTCTATTAAAATACAGTTTGTCAACCTCACAGTTGGTACTCCAACAATGCTACATCCTCACTCCCTTGCTGTCACAGTATTAGAAAGGTATACTAGGCAGCTGGTGATAAACAGCTCAGGCACCCATCCCTAACAACTTTGAATGAGCTGAAATTGGCCTATTTTTTGTTAAAATTATATTGGTATATCATAACTTTCTTATGGTGATGATTAAACTATTTGTCCAATATCTTAATGTTTTACCTTGGTTTTTTTTATTTAATTTTTTGCAGACCGCCTTTGGATCTTAACCATGGAATGATGGGTCAGTCTGTGGAGGGGACACCAGGAAAGCGCATTCGCAAGCCCTCTTTGCTTTATGAAGATTTTGAAGGTCCCAATATGACCTCAAATGTTTTTCACCACATGCCACAAGCAAATCCTCCACCTCCTGAGGTCAGCAATTCCAAAAAGCCTGGACGTTCCACTAATCAGCTGCAGTACTTGCACAAGGCTGTAATGAAGTCTTTGTGGAAGCATCAGTTCTCTTGGCCTTTTCGCCAGCCTGTGGATGCAGTAAAGCTGGGTTTACCGGTATGTACTTGGGTTAATACCTTAAATGCCTAACCTATATTAGCTGACTGGTAGAAGTGGGTTAGTCTGCTCATTGTATTTGCAGTCTTCCTCGCACAAACACAAGAAACTTTTTCACTGGGAAGTATCTTTATACTGCCTGATGACAGCTCTGAGATTTTGACAGCATTGAGGAATCTGGTGCTGAGAGGTTCAGGGTTCCACAGTGTTCGTGGATCTTGGTAGCGTGTAAAAGGTTTTTGAGGCCTAACTTGGTGTTGTGTATACCGTTTGTACAAGTGGAACTGCTTCTTATAAAAATAAACTGTGGCTACGGGTAATGCAACAATGGGATTAATTTCTAAATATTCTTGAAGTTACACTCTGATTATTGTGTAGGAAAGGTTACTTTTGATTCTGGCAGTTACTTATGCCCCATGTTCTCCTACCTACTTCCCATCCATTCCTACAAATGTATGGATGTTTTGATGCACGCCGCAAAGTTGACGCTTCTAATGATGTAGCTGCCACCCTATATATTGTGAACTGGTTAATTATTTTGTGAAATGCGAATTTCCAATTAATGCGTTTTGCAGATCTGCACATCCATGAATTTGTACAGGACCCAAAGTGTGACAATATTAAACGCTACACATACTGAGATGTCTTGGATTAGAAGTATGAAGGTACATTAAACTGGTAGGTGTCCTATTCATTAGCTTTTAGAATAAAGTCATAATTTCCGTTATGCCAATTGCCTCGCCAAGCTACATATTTGGCAGGGTTTATATGTTCCCTCTGAAGCATTCAGTCAGTATGCCTCTGGCATGACCACCCAGGCAGCTTGCTGTCAAGCGGGCCAGAACTTAGGGCTACCATTTTGTTGAGTAGCTGTATTCTTGTGTCCGTGGAGGTGTGAAGGCTTTAGGTTGAATCTGCTGCTTCATGAATGCTGTGTAATTTGCTTCTTCATTAACAATCATGTGTTTAGGATTTTAAACCTGGTCTCCTAAGAAGTGCTTGTTAAGAATGTAACTGATATGCGTCTGTATAAGAAAAGAAAAAAGATTATGCAGGTGTATTTTTGTAATGTAGTGCTTGGATTTTTTTTATTTTATTTATTTTTTCTCAAAACCAGAGCTGTCATCGGGTCCCAAGTACAAAAAAGCCTACTGTGTGTTTTCACAGGGTGCGCTTGCGCAGTCAAGGGTCTGCTGTACATTTCAGGGAAGAGGCAGCTGTTACTGGGATGGTAAACACATGGGATATATGGGGCATCTATTTTACCAAGAGGAGTGAAATACAGCCTGCTTTTTTAAATGTGGCTTAATAATTGTGTGCAGTGTACGGGGGTAGGGGGAGGAAGCACATTTTTGAATCAAGATGTCTAATAATCTCCTGGAATTTGTTTGTAATTACATTTGTTCTTAGAATTGTTTTTGTCTTGTAACACCAATACAGCATGTTATAGATTAATGTGATGGGAGAGGGCTTTGACCGAATTCACAATTAGATTTTTGTTTTCCTCTTTGGTGCGCATTGTTCACTGCAGGATTATCATAAGATCATCAAATATCCGATGGATATGGGAACCATCAAGAAAAGACTAGAGAACAACTATTACTGGAGTGCACTAGAGTGTATGCAAGACTTCAACACTATGTTCACCAACTGTTACATCTACAATAAGGTGAGACAGCTGGGTGGTTAGAATTACAATATTTTTTATTTTATTTTTTTAAACTGTACCTAACCAACTGAGGATATATCTTGCTACAGCCAACCGATGACATAGTGTTGATGGCTCAGAGCTTGGAGAAGATGTTCCTGCAGAAAGTGGCACAGATGCCACAAGAAGAGCAGGAGATTCCGAACACCTCTACAAAGAACAAACAAGTGAAGAGCCCCAAATCACCAGGTGAGTCTTTGAAAAGTTTCAATATCTTTGATGATCTTGTTGCTTCTTCAATCAAATGACATAGGAAAAGAAGGGGAAAATGTGGCTGAATATTTAAACTTTATTTCCTTCAGTAATAGGTGGAGTTACAACAGCTCATCAAGTGCCAGCTGTGTCATCCATGTTTCAGTCTTCGCTTTATCCAAGTTCCCCTGAAGTGCCCTCCACCATCCTTAGCCTACCGCACCCGCCTGTGCTCTCCAGTCCTGTTCATAAGTCATTGCCTTCACAAACATTGCTACCGGTAGTGCCAGCAACAACTCAGCCGATTACTAAGGTATGTTAACTGACCTCAATAAATTTGTGCATATAAATGTAGATTAGCTTTGTTTTATTGTGAATTGCCTAATTGTTACATTTTAAAATTCTTTGTTGTGCAAATCTGTTTTTCTATTTCCAGAAGAAAGGTGTGAAACGGAAAGCAGACACTACAACACCAACCACAACTGCTATTATTGCCACCAGTGGAGACTCCTCCCCTATACCTCCTGAAACCAAACCTGCCAAAATTCCTGCACGACGGGAAAGTGGTCGCCCCATCAAGCCACCACGCAAGGATCTACCAGATTCCCAGCAGCATCAGACCTCTAAGAAGGGTAAATTATCAGAACAGCTGAAGTACTGCAATGGGATATTGAAAGATCTTCTCTCTAAGAAACATGCAGCCTATGCATGGCCTTTCTACAAACCTGTGGATGCATCAGCCTTGGGACTGCACGATTATCATGAAATCATCAAACACCCCATGGATCTAAGTACCATCAAGGTGAGAATCGGGGTATGGATGTTAACTTACTGAAAAAATATTTAAGTACCTGAAAAGGCCAAATACTTTATTTTTTAGACCTCTGTTGTGTATGATAACGTTTTACCTGGATCACTGGCATTTTTTTGCAACAGAGAATTATGGAAGAAGATATAGCTTGTGTGGTCCCTGTTTGATATGAAGGGAACTGATGTACAAGGATTTGCAGACTGCTTTTCTTATTTATTTTTTAATTTTTTTTCTTGGATTGCATTTGAGCAATACAGAAATCTAAAGTTCAAAATACTTCAGTCTCTTAGCAGGTATCACAGTGCAGATACAGGAGTATACTTCCCAGGGCATCTTAATATTTTGTTTACATATCCAGTTTATTCAACAAATTAAAAATGAAGTTATGTTGAATCTCTATTCTTCTATTTACACAGTTTGATCTGTTATCAGCTTTGCCCCTTTGTCAGCTTAGATTGTGAAATAAACCTTTTTTAAAAAAAAAATAAAATAAAAAATACATCTTTACTATACATTGGAAAGAAAATGCTTCACATAGGGCAAAACAAAATTTGAACATAAATTAAGTGTGGAATTACAATAGCTCATTAAGTGCCAGCTGTGTCATCCATGTCTCAGTCTTCACTTTATCCAAGTTCTTAAGAAGTGCCCACAATCATACTTTGCCTACAACACCTACCTGTGCTCTCCAGTTCTGTTCATAAGTCATTGCCTTCACAAACCATGCTACCAGTAGTTTGAGTAGTGACCATTTCTCCCATTAAGATATTCTGGGAAAATGTGTAATGTCTTTTTAGATTTGCTCTGCACCTGCTGCTTATGCCTATAATACTCTTTTTATAATATCTTGCAAAGTTGGACTGGTTAAAGGTGCATTATTCATTGGAACATCGTTTTGCAGAAAAAGATGGATAACAGGGAATTCCGTGATGCTCAAGAATTTGCAGGAGATGTGCGACTTATGTTCTCAAACTGTTATAAGTACAACCCTCCAGATCATGATGTTGTAGCAATGGCAAGAAAGTTGCAGGTAAGAGGTTTACCATCACCAATAGCGTTAAAATTACTTGATTACTTTGATTTTGTTAAATGTAACTTTTTGCCCCTTCTTCCTCAGGATGTGTTTGAATTTAGTTATGCCAAGATGCCAGATGAACCACTGGTGGTGAATCCTCCTTCAGCATCAACACAGCAGCCAGCTTCGGATTCCAAGTCTTCCTCTGAATCATCAAGTGACAGCAGCAGTGAGAGTTCAGATGACAGTGAAAGCTCTGATGACTCGGAAGAGGAAAGAGCAAATAGGCTTGCTGAGCTGCAGGAACAGGTCAAGAATTTTAAACACTCCTTTCTGTGCAAAGTTGTAGCTTGTCACAATGCTATGCTTGTCACTCACAATTGATAAGAACTGTGAATAAAACTTTCTGGAATAAATTGATCAAATTGCTGACCTGGAGTTCTGTGTAGCTTTTCTAGTAAACTTATGACACTTTTGTGGCATCACAAGTTTACTGAATGAACAGGCTTCAGAATAGTCTTCAACGGATGACTTCAAAATAAAACCCAAAAGGTATCCTTTAAAAAAAAAAAAAAAATGGTATGTAGCCACCAGGAACTTCATTAGCCTTAAGATCCTGTACAGATTCCAGATGTAGCACTTGAATTTGTTCCTTGAAGATTATTTTCCCTTTGACATTTCTCTGTTTGGTTAGATGTCTAAGCTAGAGCAAAACTGTAGAATTTCCAGGTCAGTGTTGTGTTTTTTAAGCTATGAATTTATAATGTGGTTTCCACAAAGCTTATTATATATAAATGCAAATATATTAATTCAATCTATACTTATCTTCCTACAGCTCAGAGCGGTGCATGAACAACTGGCAGCACTCTCCCAAGGTCCAATCTCTAAACCCAAAAAAAAGAGAGAACGGAAGGAGAAGAAGAAAAAGAAGAAGTCTGATAAGAGGAAAGGAAAGGAGGATGATGAATGGCAATCTAGCAAATCAAAACAGTCCCAGTCAAAAAAGTCAAAGAAATCTGGATCAGGCGGAACCACTACTAGCTCCAGTTCAAATACTCCAGCAGTTTCAAAGTGAGTCAAGGCGATATTATGAGGGTCTGGAGTTGAATTTGAGTGTGACATATTCAATTAATATAAAAAGAAGCTATAATTTATTTAAGGCATTCTCTATTGCCAGGAAAACAAACCCGTTTTCCTGGCACTGTAGAATCCTGGAGTGCCCCCCATCCCACACCCCTGAAGGGCTTAAAATCACTTGTCATTCTCTTGAATCCAGCGCCATAGTCCATTGGCGCTGGGTCAGGCCCCGCCCATGCTCCTCCCCTGCCGACCTCAGCTGGCAGGGAGACCGCATGCGCGGCAATGGCTTAGGATTAGGATTTCACCATAGGAAAGCATTATTAAATTCCGGTGACGCTGGATGCATAGCGTGAGGACGTCCAGCGTCGTCTTAGCACCGGAAAGACCCTCTAGTGGCTGTCAACACTAGAGGACTAAACCGTGCAAGGTAATTAATTGCAGTTTCTCAGAAACTGCAATAATTACCACTGTAGGGTTAAGTGACATGGGACATTGCACCCAGACCACTTCAATGAGCTGTAGTTGTCTGGGTGACTACAGTGTCCCTTTAAATCTTCGTGCATTCCTTTATAATTGGCTTAATGACTTTTCCACAAAGTAAATCTGTAATTTCTAGAGAAACATCTCTAGTTTTTTGATTCAGTTATAATTCTTTTTATTTTTTTTAACTTTTGAATCTTGCAGAAGTTCTAAAAAGTCCTCCTCCAAATCACTTCCTTTACTTCCACCTGTACTTTATGACTCTGAAGAAGAGGAGGAGTGCAAACCAATGACGTATGATGAGAAGCGTCAGCTTAGTTTGGACATCAACAAACTTCCTGGTGAAAAGCTGGGTCGTGTGGTACATATCATCCAATCGAGAGAGCCCTCTTTGAGAGACTCAAACCCTGAAGAAATTGAGATTGATTTTGAAACTCTGAAACCTTCCACCCTCCGTGAGTTGGAAAGATATGTAATGTCCTGTCTGAGAAAGAAGCCCAGAAAACCATATGGTAAGTTTAAAGTAAATGTTTCCTTGTATATTACAATAAAAAGTACAAATGGTTGCTAGCTTGTAGTTTAAAGGCAATTGGTTTTGTAAGGCATTGCACTAATTAAGAACAAAGCCACCTGGTTTTATTCGCTTCAATTTATATTTGAGTATCAATGCCTGAATTTCATACTACACTGCTCAAAATAAATAAATAAAGGGAACACTTAAACACAATGTAACTCCAAGTCAAGCACACTTCTGTGAAATCAAGCTGTCTACTTGGGAAGCAACACGGAGTTACAATCAATTTCACATGCTGTTGTGCAAATGGGATAGAGAACAGGTGGAAATTATAGGCAATTAGCAAGAGATCCCCCAATAAAGGAGTGGTTCTGCAGGTGGTGACCACAGACCACTTCTCAGTTCCTATGCTTCCTGGCTGATGTTTTGGTCACTTTTCAATGCTGGTGGTGCTTTCACTCGAGTGGTAGCATGAGATGGAGTCTACAACCCACACAAGTGGCTCAGGTAGTGCAGCCCATCCAGGATGGCACATCAATGCGAGCTGTGGCAAGAAGGTTTGCTGTGTCTGTCGGCGTAGTGTACAGAGCATGGAGGCACCACCAGGAGACAGGCCAGTACATCAGGAGACGTGTAGGAGGGCAACAACCCAGCAGCATTACTGCTACCTCTGGCTTGGTGCAAGGAGGAACAGGAGGAGCACTGCCAGTGCCCTGCAAAATGATCTCCAGCAGGCCACAAATGTACATGTGTCTGCTCAAACTGTCAGAAACAGACTCCGTGAGGGTGGTATGAGGACCCGACGTCAGCAGGTGGGGATTGTGCTTACAGCCCAACACCTTGCTGGATGTTTGGCATTTGCCAGAGAACACCAAGATTCACATTCGCCACTGGTGCCCTGTGCTCTTCACAGATTAAAGCGGGTTCACACTGAGCACATGTGACAGTCTGGAGATGCCGTGGAGAACGTTGTGCTGCCTGCAACATCCTCCAGCATGACCGGTTTGGCAGTGGGTCAGTAATGGTGTGGGGTGGCATTTCTTTGGGGTCGCACAGCCCTCCATGTGCTTGCCAGAGGTAGCCTGACTGCCATTAGGTACCGAGATGAGATACTCAGACCCCTTGTAAGACCATATGCTGGTGCGGTTGGCCCTGGGTTCCTCCTAATGCAAGACAATGCTAGACCCCATGTGGCTGGAGTGTGTCAGCAGTTCCTGCAAGACGAGGACATTGCTATGGACTGGCCCGTCGGTTCCCTTGACCTGAATTCAATTGAGCACATCTGGGACATCATGTCTCGCTCCATCCACCGTCACGTTGCACCACAGACTGTCCAGGACTTAGCAGATAATTTAGTCCAGGTCTAGGAGCATCAGGAGCATGCACAGGTGTTGTAGGGAGGTCATACAGGCATGTGGAGGCCACACACACTACTGAGCCTCATTTCGACTTTTTTTTAATTTTATTTTTTTAAGGATAATGTCATAGTTGTATCAGCCTGTAGTGTGTTTTGTTTCACTTTAATTGAGTGTGACTCCAAATCCAGACCTCCATGGGTTGAAAAATTTGATTTCCATTTTTAAATTTTTGTGTGATTTTTGTTGTCCGCACATTCAACTATATAAAGAACAAAGTATTTCAGAAGAATATTTAATTCATTCAGATCTAGGATGTTATTTTGGCGTGTTTTTTTTTTTTTTTTTTGAGCAGTGTATAATGGTGTCTGCTGGATTCTTGAAATGATCCCATGTTTAATTTTTCGTGCTATTTGGGACCTTTAATAATTTTATTTTTTTCCTGGTAATTTATTTTCACTTACTCTTGGCACCTCTTAAACTAAACTCAAAATAATATTACAAATAGTGTATGTGTGTGTGTGTGTATATGTGTGTGTGTGTGTGTGTATATATATATATATATATATATATATGTGTATATGTGTGTGTGTATGTATATATATCTCTATATCACAAATAATGGCACTCACCCTTCCTGATGTAATGAGTAGTAAAGTGCCCTGGTGCAATCTTATGCTGATAAATAAATAATTATATTGAAGAAAGATGCACTCTCCGGTCTTTTTAAGAATATTAACGGTCTTTAATCCGTCAAAGGTTTACAGGTTGTTTGATCAAACCTTTGATGGATTAAAGACTGTTAATGGTCTTAAAAAGACCGGAGAGTGCATCTTCAGTGTGTGTGTGTGTGTGTGTATATGTGTGTGTATATGTGTGTGTATATGTGTGTGTATATATATATATATGTATATATGTATGTATATGTAGTGTGTGTGTGTATACACATATGTTGGGAATATCAGTAAGTGCTCTTAATCTTTTTGTTACACTGAACACTGAGAGGCGTCTGGGTATTTTACTTTTTTTATTTTTTGATTAGCTGCACTTGTAGAATCATTAATTGCTTGTGGTATTTGTTGTGGGTGGGTGTTCTGGGTTTATTTACATTTGGTTAATTAGGTGTTTGTCACACATGTTTAATACCAGATTGTAGAAATTATTTTAAAAATGTAGCTGGGACCATACATTTCTCTGTACATGAAGCGCTTTGGCATTGATATGTTTTGGGAAGGGTGAGGGTGGGGGTGCGGTTTACCATTAGTGTACAGGTTTATATTTGAGACTTGGTTACTTATGATTTAGCTATAATCAAATATGTTCCCTACACCATTCTAGAAAACATATTCTTACATGAACCTTGTAATCAATATTCTCCTGTTTTCAGCTCAATATGTAGACGAAGCATAACCATTTATTTTTCTGCTCTCCTCAGCTCCCCTTAACTCTGTGCTCTCTCCGGCACTTAAGAAAACAGTGGGGAAAACAAAAGAGGAGATTGCTCTGGAGAAAAAGAGAGAGCTGGAGAAAAGATTACAGGATGTCAGTGGACAACTAAATTCTGCAAAGAAACCACCGAAGAAAGGTTTGTGTCCATCAGGCAGACTGTTCTGTGGGTTTTTGTTTTTTTTCTTCTTAAAATATATATTTTTAAAGTAGTTGTAGTATAGAAAGTGCTATGTAAACCTGTTTTTATATATGGTGTTAGTTTTGAGCAGGGTCCTCATCCACATATTGTTCCTGTAACATTTTGTAACTCTCATTTATTATTAAATTTCTCACTTGATCACACCGTAAAGACCTATAAAATAAGTTGGTGCTATATAAATGTCAATAATTTACAAGAGATTAAAGCAATAACAAATGATTATTTTATTTTTTTTCCTCGCTAGCCCATGAGAAAGTAGAATCTGCTCAGCAGGTCTCAGTTTCTCGTCTCAGCGCCTCCAGTTCCAGCTCAGACTCTGACAGCAGTAGCAGTTCTACTTCCAGCTCCTCGGACACAAGTGACTCTGATTCGAGTTGAACTGGAAAAGGGAACCTTCTCCCCTACTCGAGCAGGAGAAGAATTACAGATTATTAATGTTTCAAAGGAGGTTCTAAATGGATCTGCAGGAACAGAGCCCACCTGAACCAGAATTTAAATGAGGCCTTTGGAAGTGGAAAATGGTAGATTCTGCCTTCTTAACTCTGCTTGTATAAACTGACAACAGGCACATTTGGATCCACTCCTGGAGCACGAAGCACCAACCTCAATTTCTGTTCTTTTAATGGACTCCTATTATTTGGAGGTTGTGGGAAGGCACAAGTGAGGCATTAATCTTGTGGATGGTGGCCAGGGATGGGTTACAAATCTGGTGCAATGTCTTGTTTTATTCTGTTTACAAGTTCTCAAAGCGCACAGATGCCTGTATGAGGTAGAGTCCAGCTCCACTTGAACTGGGCACTACTTCCATAGTGACAAGTCTATTCCGATATGGCTATTCTGATGTGGCTGATTGCTCGGTGCAGTGTTATTAATGACCCGTCTCCCTAATTTCCTTAAATTTCTTTTGTGTATGGCACACACTACAGTGAAGCTCTTTTGTTTTAACTGCTCAGCTGCTATGGGCTTGCTGACAAGTGTGCTTGAGCAAAGTGTAGAGAGGGCTGCATGTGTGGTTGTGAGAAAGTGATTTGTTTTATTGTTTAAGGCACATTAGGAAGTTTTATAACGGCAAGTGTTAATTCCTTTTGAAGCCTGTAGACAGAAAGTCATCCCCTTCAGCCCTCTCCTGCATGTAGTATGCTAGGAGGCAGTGAAAGAGTTCTGTCCCTCTCTGGGTATGATCTTCATCTTTAACTGGGATCCAAAGTACAGAACTTACAGCCTTTTTGTGGTTGCTTTATTGTTTTTGTATTTATTTTAAATGAGTTGAGAAGGAAACACTTTTTTCTCTTGTTTTATATTGTAAAATAATTGCAGAGGGCATCCTGTTGATACAGGGGCCATTGTAGATGTAAGATTTTATAAGCCCTGTATATATATATTCCAAGTTGCACAAGCAGCATGTTTCTCAATGTAAAGGGTGACTTTATTTTTTACCTGGAAAAGTTTTTTTTATTTTATTCCTGATTTTTTTTTGGTCTGTCACTATATAGTATGTCTCTTCTCCTTTTGTCTCTTGTATCTGTTCAAGCCCTTTAGTTTTGAAACATGTAAATAAAGAAAATATACTTCCAAATAACATGTGACCTGCTTAACAAAGCTGTGTATAAACCTATTGCCACTTCATTTCACAAAGCACAAGTCAAATACATTCAATGATATACAGCATGCCAATTACAATTATTAAAGGGTCACTACAGTCATCAAAACAACTTTAGCTTAATGATGCAGTTTTGGTGTATAGATAATATCCCTGCAGTCTTCATGCTCAATTCTCTGCCATGAAGGAGTTTAATCACTTTGGTTATGCATCCCTTAAATCACACACAAGAGTCTCCTGCAATGTCTAACGAGCTAGTAACAGTGGAGGAGATACATTCTAAATTAAAGTAACACCATAGTCACCGGAAACAAATACAGCTCATTGAATTTGTTCTGGTGAGTATAAACCATCCCTTCAGGCTTTTTGCAATATACTGTCTTTTCAGAGAAAAGGCAGTGTTTACATTACAGATTAGGGATACCTCCACCGGCCACTACTGAGATGGCCACTAGAGGTGCTCCCTGGGTCAGTGCTCTGCAGCACTGACATTCAGTGTATCCACTCTCTGCATGGAGACACTGAACTTTCCTCATATAGATGCATTGATTCAGTGCATTTCGATGAGGCGATGCTGCTTGGCTTGTGCTGGCTCTCCTATGGAAAATCACATTATGAGTTACTGAGATCCCCATTTATGTCTGCCAAGGAGGCCGATCAGTGGTAAAGCCAGCAGCAACAATTTTACTATACAGTATTTAGGGTGGGCTAGATAGTGGTTTTTAACATTATAGGGTCAGAGATACCTGTTTCTGTTCCTGACCCTATAGTGTTCCTTTCAGTGGAGTGTAGGAAGTGTAAAATAAGAGCTCACGTTACAGGAAGTGTTTAGGAAGGCTGTGTAAATCCCATACATTGATGTACTGTTAAGTGTGTGTTTAAAGTTCAATTTACAGAGCAGAAGATAAAATTAAGGAAAAGGAAGTTAACGTGATTGAAAATTAAAATTGTTCATGCAGAATGGATCTGCATGGACAGAAACAAAGTGATATAACTCCTAAATAGCATATAGAATTGAGCAGTGAGACTTCAGAGGCATTATCTAAACTCACAAAATGCTTCATTAACTTAGTTGTTTTGGTGATTGAACTGTCCCTTTTTAAATATAACATATTCTGCAGCACTGTACAATAGGAAACAAACTTAATTTTAAGAATATGTAATGAAATACGGGAGCAGTAAGTGAAGAGGGCCCTGCTCTTGCGTGCTTACAATCTAAAGGGGAGAGAATCCATGATTTGAATGTACCTGAAGTGTAAACTATTCACACATCTCTGGTAATGCCTTTGTTAGCTTTCACATGCAATAATAGCTTGTAGAACCATGTATAAGATCATAGGACCATTCCACTTAATTTGTATGTATAAATACATAACAAGATAAGAAGCTAGAGTAATTCTGAAGAATGTACAAATTCCAAGAAGTCTGAAACTGCTCGGTATAAGTATACATGAAGTCAAGATTACAGTATGCAAACAGAAACCTGAAAGCAAGGTAATGGGTAATTGCAGAAGGCACCTACCAAATGCGACTTGTATATCAAGTGTATTGCTTAATCCCATAAGGATCAACCGTGGAGTAGTTTCATCATAAACTCTCTTTGAAAACCTTTTTTTATCGAATGGTCTTGCTTATTTAATGCTAGAAGGCGGGAATTGATTTGTAAATATGCAGAGCAATGCCATATTGTGATAACTAAGTAAAATATTGCTTTTTTTTTTTTTAAGTGGATGGTCATATTAGATAACCTACAAAAAAGAAACTCGAACTATGTAGTGCTTCCAAAATAAGTCTAGTAGTTACTATTACTTCAGTTTAACACCTTAAGGACACGTCATGTCACGATTCCCTTTTATTCCAGAAGTTTGGTCCTTAAGGGGTTAAAGAAAAATCACCCAGACTGCCACTAGAGGTGCAGCACTGACGTTCAGGGTCTCCACATGGAGGTATTGAACATTCCTTTTAGGGAAGCATTGGTTCAATAAATCTGAGGAGATGCTGATTGGCCAGAGGAGTGTTTGGCTCCGCCCCACCTGCCCTCTTGTCTGATCTAATCAAAACTGCCAATTCAATACTTTCCTATGACCTGCACCTTGCTGGAAAATAGAGAAAATGTACAACATCCAACTTACTGTAACTTTCTTTTCCTGGCTATTTCTCATGGCAGCATCACTTATGGGTAGCTCCTCCCTTAGCAGTCACAGGACAGGAATTAATTAGATTGATTCATAAGACTGATAGGTATAGAGAGTCCCTCCTCCCCTTACACCACAGTCCAAATATATAGCTGAAAAAAAATAAAAGAATGGGTGGGAACCCTAATGCTGCCATAAGAAATAGCCAGGAAAAGAAAAGTTTGGTAAGTTGGTTATAAATTTTGTCTATTCCTGGCTGATCATGGCAGCATCACTTATGGGTAATACCCAAACTATCAGAAATATAGGGTGAGAATAAAGCAAGAAAAAGACACTGTACAGACACTCATGCTGCAAAGAGGTTTAATGTTAATGGGATAAAGAAACGGTAGTGTTTTATGAACGTCATCGGGGAAGACCGGGTGGCTGCTATGCCCAATTAGCCCATGAAGTCGACAATGCTCTGGTAGAATGTGTTTATCTTTTTTGGAGGAGACTGACCTTTAGAGACATACGCTTTCCTGATTATTAGTGAAATCCAACGTTTCAACGCCGATGAAGCTGCCTCACCTTTCCTAGCTCCTGAAGGAAGAACGAAGAGTTGACTTAGAACGAAAAAGGTATTGAGACAGACCATTATTTATACAGCACCGTCAGATTCCGTAGCGCTGTGCAATGGGTGGATTAACAGACATGTAATTGTAACCGGACAACTGGACATACAGGAACAAAGAGGTGGAGGGCCATGCTCGATGAAGCTTACATTTTAGAGGGTTCTTAACATCCAAAAGTTGCCACCTAACTTCTTCATGAGACGTTGGATTGGGGTAGAATGATGGAAGGACCACTTCTTAAGAAAGATGAAGCTGAGACCACCTAAGGAAGAAACTCAGGTTTTGGTCTCAGACACACCCTATCCTGATAGATTTGTAGACATGAAGACATGGTAGAAAAGACTTTAATCTCCAAAATTCTTCTTACATAAGTAATAGCCACCAAAAACAAAGTCTTGTAAGTCAGTAGGATAGTATCCAAATTTTCATGGGGAACAAAAAAAAATCATAATTCAGGTAGTTGAGAACAAGAGGAAGGTCCCAAGGAGGGGTACCGGATCTGGAAGGAAGTCTCAAACTGAAAGCTGCCTTGAAGAATCTGGAGATCAAAGGATCAGAAGCCCATGAGATATTGCATAATGCTAAAAGAGCTGAGGCTAAGGCCTTTGTACAGACCTTCTTGGAGGAAATACAGGATCTGAGTATTGCGAGGTTGCAAGAAGTCAATGTTCTTGGCCGATGCCCATTCTCTGAATATATCCCAGACACTATGGTGTCCTATGAGGAAGTACAACCCTTTCTAGACTGTAAAAGAGTATTGACCACCTCACCCCCAAATTCAGTTGTTCTGGATGAGGATGGGAGACTGGGCCCTTAGTCAGATCCTTCATTATCGGAAGAGGCAAAAGCCATTCCTGACTCACAATGCTTAAGAGAGGAAACCATGACCTTTGAGGCAAGGTTAGGATTATGGCAATGACTTTTCTTCCTTCCATTCAAAACCTTCCGTAGGAGGCTGGGTATCATGTGTAGGGGTGAAAACGCATACTCCAGGTCCAACGACCAAGGAAGGGAGAGAGCATTCTGGCC